TGTTCTGTTAGTTTTGGCATGAATATACTAAAGCTTTTTTTTTTTTTTTTCTAGCATGTGTTTTCTCCTCTTTGGTTCTCTCTGTATTTACTACTTTTCTCTTTTTCTTGTGTTTTTTTTTTTTCCCCTGTTTTTGTTTTGTTTGGTGTTTTGTTCCTGTCTTCATTGTTTCAGGTATTTCTTTCCCCCTCTGGATTCCCCACGGGCTGGATCGAGATGGTCCAGTTATGCCCAGCTCCTTCCTCCTCCTCCTCCTCCTCTGGTAGAGCACTCTTGCGATGCTGACACTGCCAACCTCCAGTATCCTCACCCTCGCAGACGATATCTCTCTCGGCCTCTTAATCCCTTACCTGAGAATGAAGGGGTTTAAAACACTGATTTAACATTGAAAGGCCTTATTCAAGTGCTTGTAAATGCTTTCATTTCTGGCTGCTTTTTGTTTTTCTTCACTTTCTTTCAGAAGATTTTTCTAACTTAGGGTCTGTCTTGCATGTATTACAACTGGAATACGGTGTTTCGAACCTAAATCTGTTTGTGCGTCTCCATCAAAGGAACGTTGGCTTCACTGGGTGATAACCTTTGATGAAATGAGATATGTCCAAGTAACGTTAACTGTGAAGTTACACACAGTAGCTGACTTCAAAGTGCCTGTTTTGTAAATTTTATTTTGAACTGTTACCATAGTCTTAAGTTGTTTATGCTTTATCAGACTGGCTAATGTGAAAGCATATTCTTACGAAGCTGATTCTGTCTTTGAGACCTTAGAAAATGGATTTCATTTTACAGGCTAATGTTGCAACTGACTAGTATGTAAAATAAATCATTCCTGTGTATAAAGCAGCAAAACCCAATGTGGACTTTTTGGTCTTTTTTTTTTTTTTTTTTTTTTTTAAAGGAAATTGCCTTTCACTACTTGGAATTACTGTTTAAAGCTTTTGTAATTATTATCCAAGTAGGTTATGTAATAAAATATATTGTAAAATACACAAATCTCTTGCCTTATAAAAACAGAATGTATTTTATTTAAGATAGTTGCTAAGGCTTACTCTCCTTTCACTATCTCACAAAAAACCCAAACAAAAATTAGGAGATGTGAGCAAAAATATTACATTTATTTAAAAGGTAGAAAGTCAGTATGTAGACTAACATTTAGAATGCACAGATGTTGACTTTCAACCTAGTCAGTCAACATGAGAATATTTTCTAAAATATTTTAAGATGAGAATGTACTTGATAGAAATTGTGATAAAATGGTTAAAACTAGTAATATGCTTGTTGGTTCAGTTCTGTCAGGAATTGTCAAGGGTTTAACCTCTTATCAGGGCTAGAGAGACAGAGGTGCTCTGAACAGTATTTCATGTGTCTTATGAGGTAATCACATAGGTGACATAATTGTTATAACTATTCTAATTTTCAAAGACACCTTTCCTTGAATACTGTCATATCTCTAGTACTTCTTAATATGCAAAGGATTAAGAGCTATTCATTTTATTTATTTTTTTATTTTTTTTATTTTTATTTTTTTTTTTTTGAGACGGAGTCTCGCTCTGTCACCCAGGCTGGAGTGCAGTGGCCGGATCTCAGCTCACTGCAAGCTCCGCCTCCCGGGTTTACGCCCTTCTCCGGCCTCAGCCTCCCGAGTAGCTGGGACTACAGGCGCCCGCCACCTCGCCCGGCTAGTTTTTTGTATTTCTTAATAGAGACGGGGTTTCACCGTGTTAGCCAGGATGGTCTCGATCTCCTGACCTCGTGATCCGCCCGTCTCGGCCTCCCAAAGTGCTGGGATTACAGGCTTGAGCCACCGCGCCCGGACTATTTTTTTATTTTTTAAGACAGGGTCTCACACTGTTGCTCAGGCTAGAGTGTAGTGGCATGATCATGGCTTACTGCAGCCTTGAACTCCCGGGCTCAGGCAATCCCCCGACCTCAGTCTCTTGAGTAGCTTGGACCGCAGGTGCACGCCACCATGGCCTGGCTATTTTTTTTTTTAATTTTTCGAAGTGAGGGGTCTCACTTTTTGCCCAGGCTGTCTCAAACTCCTAGGCTCAATCCGTCATCCCACCTTGGCCTCCCAAAGTGCTGGGATTATAGGCGTGAGCCACCTCACCTAGCCTATTCATTTTAGTTTAAGGAACATTGGAGTTTTATTGTCTAATCATCAAAGTGTTTTGTCTCTAAGGTTAGCATTTCTATGTAAATATCTCTTTCAGATAATTCTCAAAGGTCTTCCTCTGGTTAATTGACTTGCTAGGGTTGTAGCCTTATGGAGGATCAAACAAGAAATCTTAATGCTGAATCTAACTCCGAATGAGAAGGCATGTCTGAGCTTTCAGTCATAGAGGTACCTGGGGTAAGAATGGGATAACGAAATTGAGACCATTCTCCAATTTAATGTAGTGAATCCTGAGCATCTACCATGTGCAAGATACTGTGCCAAGCACTGGGGTATGTAAAAAAATAGAAAGGTAGTCTGCACACAAACTTACACTCGTGGGAGAAGGCATTTCTAGAATTTACCAAAGGTAATGGGTTCGGCTTTGTAATAATGGTAGAAATTGTATAGTAGGCATAAAAGAGAGAAGTTATTTGAGCTGGCAGAATTTGGAAGGGATGTCTGATTTCAACAGGTAAAAGAGGGTAGGGGTATGTTTACAGAACAGGATATAAATAACAGTCTGGTTCATTTAGGGAACTAGTGGGACGTTAATCTGGAATCATACCTTGTGGTTACATGGGAGAAGGTTTTGGGTATTGGTGGCTGAGGCATACCACTTTAAGCAGTTGGTAAAAGGGGAGCTGAGAGATGTCTGAACTTAAAACTGGATAGGCCTCACTTCTAATTCCCTGGGAGGCACCCTGGTCATGGGGCCTCTGCAGGCTCTACTCAGCTCTATTCAGCGTCTAAAGAGATTTGGAAATCACCGTGGGAGTTCTGTTCCTCCTCTCCAGTCGGCACGTGAGGTGAGATCCTGAGGTATAAGATAATAGCTAATGTTTGCTGAGTATTTCCATGAGCCAGTACTTCTCTAGATACCTTACAGGAGTAGCTTTAAATCCTCACAGTAAGCCTCTGAGGCAAACGCTTTATCCCCTTTTTACAGACAAGGATACCAGCAGGTTAAAGTTACTTGCCCAAGGCTGCACAGTTTGGAAGAGGGAGGTAGAGCCAGGATTCAGATCCAGGCAGCCTGGCGTCAGAGTCCAGGCTGTCTTGCTGCCGAGACTCTGAATCAGAGATCTCTGTCAATAGAGTCCTATCAGGTTGCTGAGTGTTGTGCGGAGTGCTTTGGTGACGTGAGGATATTTATGGAGGAAGGACATTTATTAACAAGGATTTGGTGTGAGTGACAGTCTGGAACATGTAGACATATTTAAGTAGTTAACTGTGTTACCGCTTTGTAGAAAGAGGTTAAGATACTCTGAGAAAGAAATGTGGCTCATTACACTCCAATATACCCTTTCAGCTCTAGGGCTAACGAAGCATTTGGCTGGCTTTTTTGGGATTCAGAAAATTTTGAGATTTTCTGCATTCATCTTTGCTCATTGAGTGTGGACAAAGGTAGAATAAAGGTAATTACTCTTTGCAAATACCAAGGCTGCAGGGTTCCAAGAAGAGGTGTAAAGAACTGTGGAGATACTCACTGAGTTTGACAATTAGGAGTCTATTCCTGATAAATGTTAAAGTTTTCAGGACCCAGCTAGACACCATGAAATGCGTCAAAATCAGGTGTAAAAAGTGGAAGCCTGGCTTCCTCTATGGAAAAAAAAGTGGAGACCACTAAGGGAAGGAGCCAAGAATGGTCATTAGGTGATGAAACAGAATCAAGGAAGGGGTGTGGTGTGTGTGTGGGGGGGGTGTACGTGGGTGTGTGTTGTGTATGGATGTGGTGTGTATGCGTGTGTGGGGTTGTATGTGGGTGTGTGTGGCTGTGTGTGGTGTGTTTGATGTGAGTGGTGTGTGCGGCATGTGTGGTGAATGTGTTTGGATAGAGAGGTGCTGCATTTTTGTAGGCAGAGAGAAGGAAAACAATGGCGAGGATATCCAAGAATGACAGCTAAGCCATGTTTGCAGGAGGCAGAAAGCGGTCAAGTAAACAGACGTCTTTCCCCACCGAGCTAACCTCAGGTCTAGGGACTTCTAAACTTTGCATTTTCCCTATTCTCTCCTCCAAAGTGCGCGGGGCATCTTTCAGTAACTTGAATGAAGTTAAGGGGTTAGCTTTGGAAAAGAGGGACTCTTTTCCTTCTGTGACTATATGGAATGAATTTTGAGATAAGGGACCTTACTGAAAAAGAGTGAGATACATTTTGAGTGAAAGGCGTGGTCTCAGTGAAGCAGTGTAGTAGTTAAGGGCTTGTGCCGAGCAGATGGCGGGGATGGGATTTGTGGCCTAAGAAGGATGGACAAAAGTAGGAAGCTACTTAGGGACAAATTATGCCTCACCTCACTTTTTCCCAATCGAGACAAAGCCTACTGTGTCACAGAGAGGCGACTAGATGTGGCGAACTGTCATGAGACTTGGATCCCGAGGAATTAACTGAAGGTGAAACCCGACGCCTCTCAGGTCTACCAACAGGAAGGTCTGCATCTGCCCACGGAAGGACGAAACCTACCGGGGGGATGTGTTGGCGGGGAATACTTCTTTGCGCATAGAGTGACTGGCGGTGCCCTGGAGCCCCAAACTGAATAAAGTAAGCATTATTTTCAAATTCGCGAAGACCTTGAAGGCGGCGCCAACGGGAGCAGCCCCCGAGTCCCAGCCGGCGCAGAGCTCCAGCTCCTCCTCCTCCTCCTCCCCCGGACGCGCAGGGCGCGCGGCTTCCTCGCTTCAAATCCAGGAACGCGCGGTCCCCACCAATCACTGGGCTTCTTCCCGCCCCATTTCTTCCTGCTGTCCAATCAAAAGCCGGCTCAGTCTCCTCCCCTTGCCTGGTGCTGCGAACAGACGTAAACCAGAGGCGGGCGCGGTACGGCCGTTCGGGGCCGCAGCCGGAGCGGGGACCGTGCGCACGCGCACTTGCAGCGCCCGGGACACCCCATCGCTCTGTGGACATTCCCGCTTCGCGCTGCGGTCCGCAGTCGGGGACGCGGGCTCGGTGAGAGGGACGCGGGCTCGGTGAGGAGGGCCGCCGGTGCTCGGCCTGCGCCTGGGCGGGAGGCAGACGCATGCCCCTTTGGCCTACGTTTCGGCTGCCGGACCGGCGGGACGGCGACGGTTGGGCCGGGCGGGGGCGCGGGCTGTGGGGCGGCGAGGCCGGCAGGGCGCGAGCGGGTTGCCTGCAGCCCTCCCCGCGCCTCCACGCCTGGCCCGGCCTCCGGCCTCCGAGCCGAGCTCCGCCCGGTTGGGGTTAATTGCACGCCCGTGTGTCGCTGCGCTTGGGCCGGGCGTGATGAGAGACTGTCAGGGGATCGCGTGTGTCTCTCCTCCCTCCTGTCTGGGGACTCCACCTCTGGAGGGACCGGCCCTCTCCGTGCTTCCCTCTGAGCGTCTCGCCAGGTGCCTGTGCAGCGGCCGGTGGTGTTTGCTTTCTGTGCATTGTGTTGGGCGGTTCTGTTTCTCTTTTTTGTTTAAAATTCTGACCCAGGAAGTAACTTTGTGAACTTAATGCTGAATGCCCCTGTCTTCCGTGGACTCGCTTGCTTTGGTTTCTGCTAGGTTGCGTTCATTTCTTCCTAATAGTTTACCTGCATTCCTTGCCTATGATTTCATTCTCAACAGAGCGTGAAATGAGACGAATGTTAATACACTCTGCTTGTACTTTGCTGTTAATTTCAGAGTTTGTTTAGTAAAACGTGAGGACCTCTTCAAGGCAGTCGTTTGGAGAACAGCTGTTCATATGACCGTATTCCCATTGGCTGTTAGTATTTTGAGGTCATTCGACTGGCGTTTTTACTGCTCCAAAATCAACTTTTTCTCCAAATTTCAGCTTTCTGGGCAAAACCGGTAAGCCTTGAACAACAATATACCAAATGCCTACCTAGTTTTAAAGTATATCTTAAAGTGCCAAGAGTAAATGATGAGTTTTGGGGAAGTTTGGCTCGGCTTTGGGTTCCACGGCACGTGCTTTTAAATGTGTTTAATCGTATACCTAGACCTACGATTACTGACTATAGTCATATGTACTATGGAATGTAATGTACCTAGGAATGTAATTAGTGAACCCAGATGTGAGATTTGAGGTCACTACTCTAAGGAAATAGCAAGAGAAATTGCAAATATAGCTACTCAGTTCAAATATAGAAGAAGAGATAACATATTGTCTTCACTTGAGATGATGGAGGAGGGGTGGGTAATGCAATAATGTGAGAAATTAAAGGAAATTTCCTTCAGGAATGTGTTATGTCCTTGAATGGTTTGCAAGTGTAATCTTTTCTGGAGAAGAGACTAGGTACTAGGTTACGTCTTGAGGAATCTTCCCGTGGGCTTTGTTACCTTTGCACCCTTAGCAAGGGTCTGTTGAAGCACTTACCACTGTCGTAGTTGACAGGGATTGTCAGCTCCCTGAGGGGCGCTGCCTTTTACTTCTTTTTGCATTCTTGGGGCCAAGTAGAGTGTTCCTCATGGTTTGTGTTTCATAATGGTTGTCGCATGAATGATCTTCGCATAATTTCTGAGTTTTCTTTGGATTAGGCCCCTTCTAAATAGGAACAACTGTTGAAGTGTTTTGTATGCATTTTAATAGTTTACATGTCTGTATATGAATGAATAACTTAGTAATTACAAGGCTAGACTTGGGGAGGCTAGTTGGGAGACTTGTGTGATAGTTCAGAATAAAAAATGATGAGCAACCGGCATTAGGAATATAGAAGTGGGGCTCGGCTCCAGAGGGGTATTTGACGTTAGAAGCATTAGAGTTTGGTGAGAGAGCAGGAGGGATCAGAATGGTCCTCGGCGTCCGTCTTGTATTGCCAGTTAATAGGGATGGATTTGGGCGAAGACTGAAGATAACGGCAGGAATGAACGGAGCAAAGGTAACAAGTTTGCTTTTGTATTTTGTATTGCATTGGGGGCTAAGGTAGATGTCAGAGAGCCATTTGGAAGTGTGATTGTTCCCTCAAGTTATCCATGGAATTGGTTCCAGGACCTGCTCCTGCCCCAGGACACTGAAATCCTCTAGATGCTCAAGTTCCTTACATAGATTGGTGTAGTATTTGCATATAACTGATGCATATGCTCCTGTATATTTATTTAAGACAGAGTCTCACTTTGTTGCCCAGGCTGTATTGCAGTGGCTATTCACATGCGTGATCATAGCTCGCTGCAGCCTCAAACTTTTGGGCTCAAGCTGCCTTCCATGGTGGCCTCCTGAGTAGCTGGGACTTCAGGCACCACCGGGAGGTGGAATTAGTGCAGAGGAAAGAATGCCCTGCGGCCAGACTTGCCTGGGTGGGAATCCTCTGGCCTCATTTGTGCTGTGTGGACTGGAAACATCTCAATTCTCTCAGCCTCATTTCCCTCAATAATAGGAATGATAGCTACCTTACAGATTTGACATGGGGATTAGAAAAATGTATGTGAAATAATTAGCACATTACTTGATAATAGACACTGAGTATCAGCAAACTAGGGGGTTACAGAGTCTTCCTTACAACTCATTTTTTCAATTTGTATTTCCACTTCTCTGTCAGGTATTGGGAATATATGGATGAACAAGATAGACATTTCCCCAAGAAGCTGCTCTTCTAAATATATAGGGGTTAAAGTTAAAGTTGAGGTTACCCACTGCCTGAGAATGTTGTCATTCATTAGTTTCACAGATACTTACTGAGTACCTGCTGTGTGCTAAGCATTGTTCTAAGTGTTAAGGAAATAGTGATGGACAGATAGGCAAGGCCCCTGCTCTTAGGGAGAAATTATTTCACTGGAAGAAGACAGATAAATGCAAGAATAAATAGTGATAAAATTGGATGGTCAGTCATGATTCCTCTGGAAGCCTGTGATAACGGGAGCATGGATAGGTGTGGTGGCAGTTCAGGGGATAATGAAGAGGAAGGCTTTTTTAAAAGGTGGGAGAAATAGCAGCATGCCCAGCACGGGAGGGCTTGCACAGACAGAAGACTCGATCACGTTAAGAAAGGGGGCCGGTTGGTAGAGTAGTTGTCAGTGCCGTGAGGGGTTGGGATCGAGTGCAGAGTGGAGAGGTGGGCTTCAGACGGGGGCATGGGCACGTCATAAACTGTTGTGGGATAATTTAGGAATCAGACTGAGGGATTGAGGAGGATTTATTATTTAGGTGCACCAGCCCAGTCGGATTAACATCCAAAAAGTCTGAGCCCTGGACAAGTCTGAGCCCTTCAAAGAGTTAAGCTACCTTTTAAGCATTTCGTGGGGCGGGCGGCGGGGATCTGTACAGGGAATGGCGGGGCTGCAATCTTGGCTCACTGCAACCTTTGCCTCGCAGATTCAGTTGATTCTCCTGCCTTAGCCTCCCAAGTAGCTGGGGTAACGGGTGCCCGCCATGACGCCTGGCTAGTTTTTGTACTTTTTGGCCAGGCTGGTCTTGAACTCCTGACCTCAAGTGATTCGCCGGCCTCAGTCTCCCAAAATGCCGGGATTACAGACATGAGCCATCGCACCTGCCCCATACCCTCTTTAGTGGTCGTAAAACTTTTTCTTTTTATATTTTGTAGAGTAGTTAGTCCATACTGTTTAAAATCTGTGCTTTAATCCAATTTGTCGTTGATCCTAGTACACTCCTGTATTACTGAAGTAGCTCTTTTTTTTTTTTTTTTTTTTTTTTTGAGACGGAGTCTCGCTCTGTCGCCCAGGCTGGAGTGCAGTGGCCAGATCTCGGCTCACTGCAAGCTCCGCCTCCCGGGTTCCCGCCATTCTCCTGCCTCAGGCTCCCGAGTAGCTGGGACCACAGGCGCCGCCACCTCGCCCGGCTAATTTTTTGTGTTTTTAGTAGAGACGGGGTTTCGCCGTGTTAGCCAGGATGGTCTCGATCTCCTGACCTTGTGATCCGCCCATCTCGGCCTCCCAAAGTGCTGGGATTACAGGCTTGAGCCACCGCGCCCGGCCTGAAGTAGCTCTTTGAGTAGTCTTCCAGGTGTTTAAGTCCTCTCCCTTCCCATACTATAGATTGATTGTGCCAGTCCTTCGTTGGTTGCAGAATACAGTTCAAACTTTCCAATACACCATTTCAGACTTTTAGAATCTGGCTCCATTCTGGCATTCTAGCTTCGTTTCCTGTGTTATTTTGTTTACCTGCTGCCAAAATACATTGGAGTATTTGCTACTGCCAGCATAGACGTAGCACCTAGGGTGGGTTTTCGAGTCAGACCTGGGTTTGAATCTTACGAATTACAACCTTGGGAAAATTGAGCTAATTTAGTCTCTCAGTTTGTTTCTTCATCTGTAAAATGGGGTAATACCTATATTGTAAGATTTTCTGTGGATTCAGTGAGTTAAGTTAGTAGATATGCAATAAAATTTAACTCTTTTCCTTTTTGGCTCATGTTTGTCATCCTAAATAAACTCTCTTATCCCATACTCTGCCTTTTAAAAGTTCTTCTCAGTCTTCAAGGCACATTGCCAATATCCTCTCTTTTTTTTAGCTTTTCCTGATTATTTATCTTTTAGTCCTCCTGTCATTATTTCCTTTACTGATTTCCATGCAGTGTGTATATGATACGTACTCTGAAAAATTGTTGAGACTGGCTAACATCTTCAGAGTACCGTGGTCAAGTTCTCTAGTAATAGCGTAGATTTTGTGCTGGTGTTTTCCAGATTTAGTCATTTGTGTACCCCTTTTACCCCTTTTACCTTGTCCATGTGCCAACTATACTTTAACTGAAAATTTTTCTTTGAATGTGTTCACTTTTTAATTCGCTCTTAACGACACTCTGAGATCCAGGCTAGATTTTTGCTAGTTGTACTTTTTCTGTTCTGTATTAGAATGAGTACGTAACTACCAAACTTTTAAATATGCCCTAAAATCATTTGTATATACCATCAGTGTTCTGCCATCTTTGCTTTCTTTATTAGATAAGTTTGTAGTAATTCTTTTTCCTTGCTACATGAAGCAAAGAGCAAATTAAAATGTGTTGTATTACGTTTTTATAATTATAAGAAGATAAGTTTAATGTTTAAGGTTTCTATTCTCATCTATAAAGTAGCAGAGTATTCTGAGATTTATTTTACCTCAGACTATTTGCCTATTTCCCCCTTACTGATGCTACAAAAAGGATTTTTTTCCTAAGATTTATTAGTTTTCTAAGATGATGCTTTTAATCATCTAAAAACATTTTATAGTAATATGTGATCTATTGAAATACTTTTGTTATTGCAGTGAGATGGAAGATTTTCGAGGTATAGCAGAAGAATCATTTCCAAGCTTTCTCACCAATTCATTATTTGGTAACAGTGGGATTTTGGAAAATGTCACTCTTTCTTCAAATCTTGGCTTGCCGGTTGCTGTTTCCACACTTGCTAGGAATAGATCCAGCACTGATAACAGGTAAGATTTGTTTGAGCAGATTTCTTCCAGGTCCATAAAGCCGACAGCATGCTGATACTTATGTTTGTCAGTCAAGCTTGAGCTTTTTGTTTTGTCTATGAGGGAGATGGCCAAATATGTGAAATGAATATGGAAAAGACAGAATTTACTGTCTCTTTCCCCATTGCATTGCCTTTTCAGTGAGTAGGTTTGGGGTTTGAGCACCAATTACCTATTTTGGTCTATTTTTTTTTTTTTGTCTATAGTGTTTTGGATTTTATTAGTTCAGTCATACTAATGGCTAGTAATGTAAAACAAGTTGTGTTAGCGAAGTTCAAAGGAAAATTAATCATAAGGTAATAGGAGTACCTCTTGTCATCAGGGGAGGAGGCAGAGCTTTGCTGCAAGAAGGGACAGAGATTGAGATTTGGGAAGCTATTAGGACTTGGGTTTTTGTCCTCCCACCCTGTGTCTCTGTATAACTCATTCTCTTCTCTCTCTTTTTGTTTTGCTAATTAAAAAATTTTTTTGTAGAGATAGGGTCTGGCTGTGTTAGCTAAGCTGTTCTTGAACTCTTGGGCTCAAGTGATCCTCCTGCCTCAGCTTCCCAAAGCGTTGGGATTACAGGTGTGAGCTACCATACCCAGCCTCTTCTCTTTTTCAATACATTGGTTTTATTTGCTTTTCTGTTCATGTTACAGAATATGGCAACACAAATTCTCAAAAGACATCTATGAATTACATTTTTAGCTACACTGAACTGTCTCCTAATGTCTCGTGAGTTTCTGGTCCATCTTAGGTTAGGTGTCTGTTCCAAATCCAGTCACCTGTGACTAGAGTTTTGGGTCATTGGATCTATTTAGAGGTCTGACAGAGTCTCACTTTTTAATTCATTTCAGCCAGGTTTACTCTTTACTAGATTTGTATGGCTGTCTTTCTCTTTCTCTTCCAGCTTTCAGTCTGTCCTGGGTTTGTGAAGTAACTCTTCAAGTAACTCTTGTCATTCTAGTAACTTTCATCTCCTGAAGTCAAGTTTCTCTTCCTTAGAAACTCAACCAGGCTGGGCGTCGTGGCTCATGCCTGTAGTCCCAGCACTTTGGGAGGCCAAGGCGGGCAGATTACTTGAGTTCAGGAGTTTGAGACCAGCCAGCGAAACCCTGTTTACTAAAAATACAAACATTAGCCAGGCGTGATGGCTCATGCCTCTAATCCCAGCTACTCGGGAGGCTGAGACAGGAGAATCGCTTGAACCCAGAAGGCGGAGGTTGCAGTGAGCTGAGATTGGGCCAGTGTACTCCAGCTGGACGACAGAGGGAGACTGTCTCAAAAAAACCCCCAAAACTCAACCAGCTTTTATTTTCTTTACTTTTAAAATTTCTGTTTTATTACCACATTGCTGTTTGGTTAAATACACCTTGTTTTGTATCTTCAACTGGACTGTGTATAGTTTATACATCCATTACATGTAGCGTCTTGCGTAACGTATAAAGTTTGCCTATGCTTAAACTTTCCCATCTTCTCTCAACCTAAACATTTAGTGAGGAGCATCATCTTGACCTTTGGGATGAAGGGGTTGTATTAACGCTGTCAGCTCTTATAGCTTTAAGATTTTTGTGACTGTATTGTTGAATACAGATAAACTCCCCATTGCTGAGCCACAGGTTTCCGTGCTTTGCACAGAGGATGATGGTTTGAAATACAGGGGCCCTGTTTGTTTTTGTCCCTGGTGGTTGGTTTTACTGTCATGCAGCCCTATGTCATGATGACATTTAAATATGTGTAATTTAATTCTTAACAATTAAAACAAAATTTTTTCTTGTGTAGGTATCCTGATGTCCAGTCATCTTACTTAGTAGAAGAGAGATTTTCAGTTCCATCCGGGTCATCTCCCGAAAGCCAGAGTGATGCTGAACCAAGAGAGAGGTTACAGCTTAGCTTCCAGGATGACGAGTAAGTTCATGCCTTCATTTGCTTGTACTATGTTAAAAGTAGGTCTTACGCAGTCTTGTGGGAAGTGACAATGTGATTGTGTCTGTAAGTAATTCTGATTAATTCTAGGAATCTTTAAGAGTTTTCTTTTCTTTTTTTTTGAGGCGGAGTTTCACTCATTCCATTGCCCAGGCTGTAGTGCAGTGGTGTGATCTTGGCTCACTGTAACCTCTGCCTCCCGGGTTCAAGCAATTCTCCTGCCTCAGCCTCCTGAGTCGCTGGGATTACAGGCATGTGCCACCACACCCAGCTAATTGTTTTTGTATTTTTAGTAGAGATGGGGTTTCACCATGTTGGCCAGGCTAGTCTCAAACTCCTGACCTTGAATGAACTGCCCGCCTTGGCCACCCAAAGTGCCGGGATTAGAATTACAGGTGTGAGCCACCACACCCGGCCAAGAGTTTTCTTTATGCTTTTTAATCACAGTTTTAGTCTTTCAAAACATTTTTTTTTGATTCTAAAATTAACGTGTGCTATTGAAAAAAACAGAGAATATAGAAAATTATTTGAAGACAGTAAAGGCCTATAATCCCACTAAATAGAGAACAGCCATTTAGTACATTTTTATTTGTAGTCTTCCATACTACAAATTTTTGTATGTGCATTTATGCCTTTAAATCTTCTTTTTACTTCTAATATGAAACTATAGAAAAAATGAAAATTTTTTTATTTTTTTAACAAAATAAGTTAAACTCTTATTCTGTTTATTACACAAAAAATTAAGATGCAGTATTATGTTCAGCTTTCAATTACTATTAATATGAATCTGTGTCATAATGTTAATGGACTGTATACTCAGATCTATGTTGGTCATTTAGATTATTCCAGTTTTGCTATTATAAATGTAATGAACTTCCCTATATGTACATTTATATATACATTTTTCACACCTAGGATATTATTAAGATTTCTAGGGTTTAAATTGCTGAGGTAAAAACAGTGTATTTTAAAGACCATGACAAATTAACACATTGCTCTTGAGAAAACTTGTGCCAGTTTCTTCTCCTAGTAGACGTATGATGAAAATGCCAGCTTCCCCCAGCCCTGCCCGACATTTGATGATGCTAGTTTTAATCTTTGATTTTTGGAGGGAAAAATAATTTATATAATACACATGTGTGTATGCATGGAAGAAAGTCTGGAAGTCTAAAAAACCAAAATGGTAATGGTGGTATTACAGACAATCTTGTTTTCTGTGTTTAAATTTGTATTTGAGTATTTATGGAATTGAACCTACTTTAATGTCTGTTCATTACTTATATTTATGTTGTGAATTGCCTCTTGATAGTCTTTATATATAAGTGCTTTCTTTGTATTAAAGATGTTAACCCTTGTATATTCATTCCTTCGCTGCGCAGTTTTGACTGACCTATTGTGTGCGCCACACACTTTTCCAAGTGGGTAGGAAATGCCAGTGATTACAACAGATGTTAAACAAGACACTAAAATATGCTAATTTTATAGTATATTAGAAGGGAAAAGTACTAGAAAAAAACAATATGATAAGGAGGGTTATTAGGAAGGCTGAAGGCAGTGTTCAGTATGGGTCTCATTGTGGACATAAGATATGAGCCAAGGGCACAATGGCTCACGCCTGTAATCCCAGCACTGTGGAAGGCTAAGGCAGGTAGATCACCTGAGGCCAGGAGTTTGAGACCAGCCTGGCCAACATGGTGAAATCCTATCTCTACCAAAAACACAAAAATTAGCCAAGTGTAATGGCATGTGGCTGTAATCCCAGCTACTTGGGAGGCCGAGGCAGGAGAATTGCTTGAACGTGGGAGGTGGAGGTTGCAGTGAGCCGAGATCACACCACTGTACTCCAGCCTGGGCAACAGAGTGAGACTCTCTCAAAAAAAAAAAAAAAGAAAAAAAGATTTTTTTTTTTTTTTTTTTTTGAGACGGAGTCTCGCTCTGTAGCCCGGGCTGGAGTGCAGTGGCCGGATCTCAGCTCACTGCAAGCTCCGCCTCCCGGGTTTAGGCCATTCTCCTGCCTCAGCCTCCCAAGTAACTGGGACTACAGCGCACGCCACTGCCCGGCTAGTTTTTTGTTTTTAGTAGAGACGGGTTTCACGGTGTTGGCCAGGCTGGTCTCGATCTCCTGACCTCGTGATCCGCCCGTCTCGGCCTCCCAAAGTGCTGGGATTACAGGCTTGAGCCACCGCGCCCGGCCAGAAAAAAGATTTGAGCCAAGACTTGAGGGAGGGAGTTAACTATGTGGACGCCAGGGGGAGCAGACTTCAGGCCAAAGATGCAGCCAGCCTGAAGGAACTAAGGCAGGAGCGTCGCCCGCGTGGTCCACAGAGCACAGGGAGGCTGGGGAGGTGGTGAGCAGGACCTTGACTCGTCGCCCGCATGGTTCACAGAGCACAGGGAGGCTGGCGAGGTGGTGAGCAGGACCTTGACTCGTCGCCCGCGTGGTTCACAGAGCACAGGGAGGCTGGCGAGGTGGTGAGCAGGACCTTGACTCAGAGACCTTGACTCAGAGATATGGGAAGCCACTAAAGGGCTACATCTGAATTGTGTTTTAAAAGGCCCACTCTGAGGATCACTTGAGCCCAGGAGATCCAGGCTGCAGTAATTGCACCACTGCACTCTAGCCTGGATAACAGAGTGAGACCCTGTCTCAAAAAAAGGCCCACTCTGGCTGTCACATGGAAGAGACTGTAGGAGGCGAGAGGGGGCAGCATGGCACTGAGTCTTGACTGTCTGGAAGTGAGGCAGGTGGAAGAGAGCAACCAGGCCTGGTCCTCAGGATGCTTCACGGTGAGAAGCTGGGGACAGGAGGAATCAACAGCGAGATTAAAGAGTTAGTGATTAGAGGCAGGAGGAAAACAGAGCATCCTGGAAGCCATGTCAAGAGCATGTATAAAAGGAGAGTTACCCAACTATGTCAAATAAAATGAGGGCAAAGAATTGACCCTTGGAATTAGCATAGATTAGGTCATTCGGAACCCCAATAAGTAGTTTGGTGGAAGCAGGGACAGGCACCGTGATGGCCTACTCAGAGTGGGTTTCAGAGAGAACGGGAGTTACTGTTAGAGGCAGTAGACAGCTTGTGGAGTTTTGCTGTGAAAGGGAGTAGAGAAACGAGGTTATGATAGCTGGATGGTTGTAGTGGGTGAAGAAAAGTTTCACTTTTTTTTTTTTCTTGTGGTGGGAGAAGTTGCTGCTTGTTTACGTGATAACAGGAATAATCTCCTGGAAAGGGTAAAACTTGCCGATGTAGAAAGGGAAGAGAATTGCTGCAGTAATGTCTGTGTCAGTAAGAGAGGGTAGGCCACAATGTGCAGTGCAGGGAATGGCTTTAGCTGGGTAGGACTGCGGACAGTTCCTCTGCAGGAATAGGTGGGAGGCTGTCCTGGGTGGGTGCATGTAGTGGTAAGAATCTGTGGAAGTTACCTTTTCAGTGCTTCAGGCTAAAAGTAGGGTTAGTGAAGTAGGAAGTATAATCATCAAGTCAGAGTGAGGGTGGAGGAGGAGGAGTTTGGTGGTTTAAAAAAAAGATGTAAAATTATCACATGGGAGCATAGGAAAATGAATGGACAGGGTTGAAATGTTAGGATTCCTAGACGACATCAAGGGCCCAACTTGAGGGCCATGGGCATGACTGTTCGGGGTGATTGTGATGTTTCTCCAGCCACATTGAGCTTAGGAGTGCTGGTGAAGAGGAGGCAGAGAATTGGATTTAACCAGGGTTGTAGTTTATAAAAGGAGTGAAGGACAAGGTTGCTGAAATTGGCCATGGGCTTTAGGTTAAGGAGGAGGAGAGGGTATGGACAGTGGGAGGGAGAGTGATGTGGTGGTACAGATGGGTTGGAGGTGCAGGTGGGGTCAGCATCATATAGTTGTGGTACTAGAGGCAAGAGGGGTAGTAAGTGATTCAAAGCTGTGAGGCTCTAGGGAGAGTGACCTGGAAGTGGCACTGAGGGCAAGAAGGGCGTATATATTCCATCTCCACACCAGGTGATGATGCCACGGCTGTGGGAGAGATGAGGGTCCCCCCTTGTCAGAGCTTGGGGGTAGTAATGTCCTCACAGGATATTCAGGCTTTCGTTAAAGCAGTAAGGTGAAAGGAGTGTTCAGAGAAGGGATTCAGGAATGGCAGATCTTGTCAACCCAGCTCTGTAAATTACAGAAGGCACAGTAGAAGGGTTTTGTTTGTTGGGGAGTAGAAGGGCTGGGCAGTCTTAAGGGGCTTGGAGTGCCAGCAGTGAGGCATCCTGGCTGGTTTTAGGAGCTGAAATTCGGTAGTTAAAGGGCATTGGGAAGGTAGTCCCACTCACCTGTTGCTGTGAGGAAACCGCAAATGTCAGGGATGGGAGGGCATCTTGAGGGTATCCCCTTGACTCTTGCTGGAGGCAGGAGCTCTGGAAATGGTCCTGTTGGTCCTTGTTGATGGAAGACGGGAGGCCTGGCGAGATGGAGTCTTAGACTCAGTGCCTGGGGAGAGGTAAGTGCTTGGAGCTAGCTCTTGAGTTTTGAACAGCCTGAAGCCCTGAGTTGTTGGTCTGAGTATAGGGCTTCCTTGGACGCTGTACTGGAGGGCCGGCAGCCGGGAGAGGCAAAGCCCCAGTCTCCTGGTGAGGGGTGACTTCTTTGACCCCTTCTTGGGGAGGAGGGAATTTGTGTTTCAAAATGTCTTTATTCTAATCTTGGAATAAATTAATATTTTAGCTGAGTACAGAATTTTAGGATGAAAATAAACTTTCACACAATTTTGAAGATATTGCTACATTGTACGTGAAGTCTGGTGTAATCTCAATACTTGGTTTTTTATCTGAACTATGTTTTCTCTGGAAATTTTAGAATCCCGTCTGAGTCCCTTGTGGGTGGGGCTGTTTTCCCCCATTCACTAAATTCTTTTTTTTTTTTTTGAGACGGAGTCTCGCTCTGTCGCCCAGGCTGGAGTGTGCAGTGGCCAGATCTCAGCTCACTGCAAGCTCCGCCTCCCGGGTTCCCGCCATTCTCCTGCCTCAGCCTCCCGAGTAGCTGGGACTACAGGCGCCCGCCACCTCACCCGGCTAGTTTTTTGTATTTTTTTTTTTAGTGGAGACGGGGTTTCACCATGTTAGCCAGGATGGTCTCGATCTCCTGACCTCGTGATCCGCCCGTCTTGGCCTCCCAAAGTGCTGGGATTACAGGCTTGAGCCACCACGCCCGGCCCCATTCACTAAATTCTAATTGGCATTGATTTGGAGATCAGTTCTAGATAATTACGGCTTTTCATCAAGTTTTTCCTTTTCTTTTTCCAGAGCTACTGTTTTGGATTGCCTGGGTTGTTCTATTTCTATTTTTTTCCCTTTTTTTCTGTTTTAGTGCAAAAAGACATTGTTCTAGATAAGTTTCTTTTTTTTTCCTGCTCATTAAATCATTTGGCAATCATAATTTTAATCATGAGAGCTCTTTTGTTGACCTTTTTTTAAAATGGACCGTTTTTGTGGATGTACACTTGACCCTCCAACAACCCGAGTTTGAACTGTGTGGTTCCACTTACAAGCAGATTTCTTTCAACCAAACGTGGATGGAAAATACAGTATCTGTGGATGTGAAACCTGAATGTAGTCAGTGCTAACTGTGGGACTTGAATATTGCATATTTTGGTAGACGCAGGGGTCCTGGAACCGGTCCCCCATGTATACCGAGGGTTGAGTGTAACAGCTACATGGATACTTCTGAAGATTCTAATTAGAAATTTTGAAAGTTCTGTAAACTGTTCCTTTTCTCCAGGGCTGCTTGTATAGTTTGTTCATTTTTATTTTTGTCTCTTGAACTGCTCCTGTTTTTCTTGTCTGATTTGTGGCTGGCTTCTAGGCTGCCTAGCATGGGCATCCTGATCCGTTGTGTATGTAACTCTCGTTTCTCATTGACTTCCCCGCAAGAGGGACGTTGTTCCTGGCCGTTTACTGTAGAGTGCGCAGGCTGGAGTCTTAAATTTTATGCCAGATGTTTAATGCTTTCTTCTGGGCCATTGTTACTGCCGTCACTTCGTTCTCCACAGGCATTTTCTGTGCTTTGATTGCAGGCAAGCGCTTCCCTCCCCCTTGCCAGGTGTTCGCTGTTGTGTGTGCGAGCATGGCTGTTGTCTCTGGGGTGGGGCAGAAGGGTGGGCGCTCCTGCCACACTTCATGCCGGGCTTTCAGTCCCCCTCTGCTGCCGTCCCCGGCTCCCTCCTGCCCTCCTCCTGCCTGTAGCCACGGAACATTTTTGTGGTTCTTCCCGGCTCCCTCCTGCCTCCTCCTGCCTGTAGCCACGGAACATTTTTGTGGTTCTTCCTGGCTCCCTCCTGCCCTCCTGCCTGTAGCCACGGAACATTTTTGTGGTTCTTCCTGGCAGATTTGTTTCCTTCTCTGCTTCCGGGCCCCTCCGTTCTTGGATTGCGGCTTTCTTTCCCCCTGCACACCCCGTCTTTCTTTCCCCTGCACACCCCATCTGCTTTTCGGATTCCAGAATCTGGGGTAAGCATGGGTGAGGACTGGTAGTTCTTACCCAGATTGCCTCACTTTTATAGCTTTCCTTGCTGTCATTTTATTGGACACTTGGAAGTTGCTCTTTCCTGTTTAACTTGAAACCTGTGACTTAGTTTGAAAAGTTGTTTTGAGCTAATAAAAATAGAGGATATCTGTAGTTTTGACGAAGTAGCTTTTTTAGAGGGATGGTGGTGAATGTGGAGCGCTCTGCTCTCAACTGACCCTGTCATTCTAAAGTTCTGGTGGTCATACTGCATGCTTTTCTCAGGGTGGGGCTTTAAAATATGGAATGGACCTAAACGTCCTGACTTGTTGTTTATTTATTTCCTGTCACCATCTTGCTCCCCCACCTCTTTTCCTTTCTGTCCTTGCTACCCCTTGACTTTGTAACTATGCGTAGTCTTTCCACCTATGCCTTTCCTTTCCTGTACTCAATGAAGTTTTCCTGCACCTACCCACGAGCGCACCTTTGGCTTAAGCTAGTGACTTTGTATGTACTACAGCTCCAGTAAAGAGATGGAGAAACTGGGAAGTAAATTGTAGTTAGGGTTGGAGTGTTGCCTCAGGCCTGAAGGGTTGGGATTTGAGAAATATGGAAGGGCTTTTAAAAAAACATTCATCCTGGCCAAATTTGAGTCTGGCTCTTGGTATCAGTGTGTCATGTAATGAACTTGTTGCATTTAGAGGCTTTTTCCTGAAGTTCCATTCCCACTCCTCCTCTTTCTGTGGTGAGCTGCTCTAGACCCAAGAGTTTTTGCAGTAGGGTGGGAGGAAAATTGCCTGTAAGAAAAATACTTTCATCCACACAGAAAACAGCAGAGGCAGAAAGAAAGATAAGGACAAGAACCAGGACTAGGGATAAAAGTAAAAACAATTGAAACCTTTATTAATTCAGAGATTTGGCTATTTTGGCAAATATGCCAATATCCTTTAAGTCTGCAGATTTTAGAAAGCTGTATTATGTAGCCTGGTTTCAAGGATACTTATTCTGGAAATAAAAAAACCACTTTTTGCTGCTTGAGAGAAAGAGCAGCTGTATGACGTTCTCTTTGATTTTGGTAGACTGTATATCACTGGACCCAAAAGGTTGATTCAGTCCCCCGAATACCGTGCAGTGTTAGCAGTTGTACTTTTCTGGCTAGACTCAAATGTTTCTTTTTGTTGCTTCCATTTTTTCTTTTTAAGAGGTGAAACGCATAACTGATTAATAGATATTTTGTAGATTTACCCAAGGTAACTAACATTTTATCATTCTTCTGTTTCCTAATAAAAAAGTTCTATCTCTAGGAAAAAGAGCTATGTGGAAAGTCAGCGTTTGTCAAATGCTCTCAGCAAACAGTCAGCTTCCCAAATGGAGACAGCAGGACCAGAAGAGGAGCCAGCCGGAGCTACAGAATCCTTGCAGGACCAAGATCTCTTCAACAGGGCTTCACCACTGGAACAAGCACAAGGTACTGAACTATTGGAAATTATTTCTTAATGCATATGTTTTTATTTCCTTTTTCATTTCCCCAGCTTTGGAATTTTTTTTTTTTTTTTTTTTTTTTAAGGAAGAGTCTCACTCCTGTGGCCCAGGCTGGAGTGCAGTGGTGTGATCACAACTCACTGCAGCCTCAACTTCCTGGGCTGCTCAACCTATCTTCCCACCTCAGCCTCCTTAGTAGCTGAATCTACAGGCACACACCACCATGCTGGGCTAACTTTTTGTGTTTTTAGTAGAGACAGGGTTTCGCCATGTTGCCCAGGCTGGGCTCGAACTCCTGGGCTCAAGAGATCTGCTGTGCCTTGGGCTGCCAAAATGCTGGGATTATGGGCATGAACCACTGTGCCTGGCCTTTTTTTTTTTTTCCTTTTCCTTAATTTTGAGATGGATTCTAGCTGTGTTGCCCAGGTTGGTCATGAACTCCTGGGCTCAAGCAATACTCTCACCTCAGCCTCTCGAGTAGCTGGAACTGGATGCATGCATCGTCACTCCTGGCTTGGATGTATTCATTTTGTACTATCATACTGTAAACTGAAAGTGCTTTGGTTTGCATTGTACCTGGTAATATCATGTTTACAGTACTTTTATAGGAAAAGGTCTCCTCTTAACCTTGTTGACTGATTTAAGCTGAAATTCTCTTTGCTTTGGAAACCATGCTGTCGGATGGCCACAGCATACTTTATATTCAAGACAAGCCTATTTTTAGTGCATCTTCCACTTTTCTTCCACTATTTAATTTATATTCTTATTGAGAGTCAATTTTGTTTCTAAGCTTATTTTTTTAAATAAAACTGGTGAATTATAAGTTCTAAAATAAATTATTGTTTCTAAGAAAACTAGGTTGAATGTATTGGAAATACTCAAGGGTAAGGCATTTGAAAAATTACCCTTGGGCCAGGCACGGTGGCTTACGCCTGTAACCTCAGCACTTTGTGAGGCCGAGGTGGGCAGATCACCTGAGGTCAGAAGTTCAAGACTAGCCTGGCCAACATGGCGAAACCCTGTCTCTCCTAAAAATACAAAAATTAGCCAGGCATAGTGGTGGCTATCTGTAATCCCAGCTACTTGGGAGGCTGAGGCAGGAGAGTTGTGTGAACCCGGGAGGCGGAGGTTGCAGTGAGCCGAGGTTGTGCCACTGTACTCCAGCCTGGGTGACAGTGTGAGATTCTGTCTCAAAAAGAAAAATTGCTCTCAAATTAGATGTGGAGAAGAAACTACAAAAATATGGGGGTTCAGGCACAGTGGCTCACGCCTGTAATTCTAGCACTTTGGGAGATCGAGGTGGGTGAATGGCTTGAGCCCAGGAGTTCAAGATCAGCCTGGGCAACAAGGTGAAACTCTGTCTCTACAGAAAATACAAAAATTAGCAGGGCATAGTGCTGTGCGCCTTAAGTCCCAGCTACTTGGGAGGCTGAGTTGGGATTGCTTAAGCCCAGGCCGTCAAGGTGATCATGCCATTGCACTCTAGCCTGGGAGACAGACCCAGACCCTGTCTCAAAAATAAATAAATAAATAAAAATATAGGGAAAGTTGTTTAAAAAAATTATAGGTTTCTGCTGTCTGATTGCTCTTAAGTACTCTGCATTCACTTTCTTTCGTCAAAGAAATCAAAACTGGAAATTGAAAAGTTCATTTTATGTACTTACATAGCAGTGGTATTCTGTAACTCCAAACTAGTTCAGTACTCAAAAGGACTTGCCTGATTGTATGTTGTAAGATTGATGAATGAGTGCACATTATATGTTAGAAAAATTTTAAGGGAGGTTTGTGTTTCTCTTGATGAAAAATGTTATATATGTGAAAGAAAAGGGGGATATTATAACTCAAATAAGCAATAAAAGAAAAAAATAGATGAATTGGACTTCAGAATTGAAAACTTTTATGCTTCAAAAGACACTATCAAGAAAGGGAAAAGACTGGGCCAGGCGCAGTGGCTCACGTCTGGAATCCTAGCACTTTGGGAGGCCGAGGCGGGTGGATCACCTGAGGTCGGGAGATTGAGACCAGCCTGACCAACGTGGAGAAACCCCGTCTCTACTAAAAATACAAAATTAGTTGGGCGTGGCGGCACATGCCTGTAATCCCAGCTACGTGGGAGGCTGAGGCAGGAGAACCGCTTGAACATGGTAGGCGGAGGTTGCGGTGAGCTGAGATCGCGCCATTGCACTCCAGCCTGGGTAATAAGAGCGAAACTCCGTCTCAAAAAAAAAGAAGTTGTACAAATGACCAGTAAACACATGAAAATATATGCAGTATCATTAGACATCCAGGAAATGCAATTCAGAACCACAATGAGGCTGGACACAATGGTTCATGCCTGTAATCCCAGCACTTTGGGAGACTGAGGTGAGTGGATCATTTGAGGTCAGGAGTTCGAGACCAGCTTGGCCAATATGGTGAAACTCCACCTCTACTAAAACTACAAAAATTAGCTGGGTGTAGTGGTGCACGCTTGTAGTCCCAGCTACTCGGGTGATTTTTCTGAGGCAGAAAAATCACTTGAACCCGGGAGGCGGAGGTTGCAGTGAGCCGAGATTGCGCCACTGCATTCCAGCCTGGATGACAGAGAGAGACTGTCTCAAGAAAAAAAAAAAAAAAAAAGTCCGGGCATGGTGGCTCACGCCTGTAATCTCAGCACTTTGGAAGGCTGAGGCGGGTGGATCACAAGGTCAGGTGATCGAGACCATCCTGGCTAACATGGTGAAACCCTGTCTCTGCCGAAAATACAAAAAATTAGCCAGGCGTGGTGGCGGGCGCCTGTAGTCCCAGCTGCTTAGGAGGTTGAGGCAGGAGAATAGCGTGAACCCAGGAGGCGGAGCTTGCAGTGAGCTGAGATTGCGCCACTGCACTCCAGCCCAGGTGACAGAGTGAGACTCCATCTCAAAAAAAAAAAAAAAAGAAAGAAAGAAACAGTAAAAACAAAACCACAGTGAGCTGCTGCTTCACACTTTATAGGCTAGGCTAACTATAATTTTTTAAAAAATGGAAAATAACGTGTTTGCGAGGATGTGGAGAAATTGAAATCCTCCTACATTATTGGTAGAAATGTAAAGTGGCACAGCCACTTTGGAAAGCAGTTTGACAGTTCCTCAAAACGTTAACTGTTGTGTTACCATGTTACTTGGCATTTGCACTCTTAGGTATATACCCAAGAGAAAGGAAACCGTATGTCCACACAAAAACTTGTGGGTTTTTTTTGAGACAGAGTCTTGGTCTGTCCCCCAGGCTGAAGTGCGTGGTGTGATCTCGGCTCAGTGCAACCTTCGCCTCTTGAGATCTAGTGATTCTCCTGCCTCAGCCTCCCGAGTAGCTGGGATTGCAAGCGTGCACCACTACACCCAGCTACTTTTTGTAGTTTTAGTAGAGGCGGGATTTCACCATATTGGCCAGGATGGTCTCAAACTCCTGACCTCAAGTAATCCACCCGCCTCAGCCTCCCAAAGTGCCGGGATTACAGGCGTGAGCCCCTGTGTCCAACCTCACACAAAACCTTGTATGTGAATATTCATAGCACCATCACAACAGCCAAAAAGTGGAAGCAATTCAGATGTTAATAAACTGATGAATGGACAAGGAAACTGTAGTATGGCCACATGAGTGGAGTATCACTCATCCACAAAAAGGAGCAAAGTACTGATACGTGCTTTAATACAGGTGAGCCCTGAAAACATGCCAAGTGAAAGAAGAAAGACACGAAGGCCACAAGGTGTATGACTCTGTTTATGCATAGGGAAATCTATAGATACAGAGTAGCAAATAACAGAAAGTAAATTCCTGGTTGTCAGAGGCTGGCAGGTAGCGGGAATGGGGAGTGACTGCTAATGCGTATAGTGTTTCATTTTGGAATAATGGAAATAGTGGTGATGGCTGCACAACCTAGTGAACATACTAAAGCCCCTGAAATGTATGCTTTGAAAGAATGAATTAATGGTATGTGAATTGTATGTATCAATTTAAAAAACCTCCCATGTACTTCTCCGTTGGTATAGGATTTTGTCATACTTGCATCATCTCTCCTTTTTACTACTTTTTTCTGATATTTTATTTTATTTTTTTATTTTTTATTTTTATTTTTTGAGACAGAGTCTCGCTCTGTCGCCCAGGCTGGAGTGCAGTGGCCGGATCTCAGCCCACTGCAAGCTCCGCCTCCTGGGTTTACGCCATTCTCCTGCCTCAGCCTCCCGAGTAGCTGGGACTACAGGTGCCTGCCACCTTGCCCGGCTAGTTTTTGTTTTGTATTTTTTAGTAGAGACGGGGTTTCACCGTGTTAGCCATGATGGTCTCGATCTCCTGACCTCGTGATCCGCCCGTCTCAGCCTCCCAAAGTGCTCGGATTATAGGCTTGAGCCACCGTGCCCAACCTTTTCCTGATATTTTAAAATTTCTGTTGCCATTTGTGCATATTTCAGTATGCATCTCCTGAAGGGTGGATATTTTCTTGTATAACCACAGTGCTATTAACACAGCTAACGAACTTAGTGCTTCTTTTTTTATCATCTGATAGAGTCGTTCGCATTGATTTGTGTGAATGGGGATCTGAGAGAGGTTTTGTTATGCTGCACACCTTTGTTGCGTCTCATGTGTCAGTGCCTTGTTGAAATAATCTAGATCAGTCACAGTGCAGTTTGTCCCACTATTTGGGTTTGTCCCTTTGCTTAGTCATAAGGTGCCATTTCTCTTATTTCTCTCTGCACATCTCCTTCAAAGCAAACGTTAGCTGTAAAGTCTTGATTAGATACATATTCAAATTCTTTGGTACAGTTTTTTTATGAATCTCCACCCTAACATTTAAAAACATTCAACCAACCTGTGATGGACTCATATACATCATTTAAAAGTGCTTCTATTCTATTTCAAGAGAAAAATATTTCTTGTTATTTTTTGGTATCGTTGCGTATTTAGCTGATAAAATAACTTGGTCTCTCAGTTTGTTTTTGTTTTCTTATACAGACTCACCTATTGATTTTCATTTACAGTCATGGATGAATGATAAGGAACCCAAGGTAACTTTTTATGTATTTGTTATTGTTTTCCGGAGTATTATAGGGGAGTGAAAGTTCATATTTCACATATATAAGTGTTAATATGAGTTAGACGTCATCTACTTTTTTCTAGTAGAACTCTAACTTACCCAGCTTCAGTAAAAATGGGAGTTTCTCTCAAGTAATGAGAAGGTTCAGGGGTAGTGCTGGTGCCTGGGACTGTATTCTTGGGCTTGGTGATGTCGGAGCTGAGTCCATCTGTTTGCTCTGCTTCACTCTGTACTGGCCTCATCTAGAATGTTAGCTCCATGAGGGCAAGCATTTCTTTGTGTGTGTGTGTGTGTGTGTGTGTGTGTGTGTGTGTGTGCGCGTGTGCGGGCGCGCGCGCGTGTGTGTGTTTCGTTGTATCCTGAGTGCCTGAGTGCCTCAAATGGTTCTTGGCCCTTAGTTGTCACTTAATAATTTGTCAAATGATAAGCAATCTGTCTCATTTGTTGGCAACACAAGCCTATACTCTTAACACTTGTGATCAGAAAAGAGGAAAAAGACAGCTCTAACGAGCTCACTTGGCTCATGTGTCCTCCCCTCTGCATATCGCTGTGCCAAGGGGTGGGTTGGGATGAGCCTGGATCTAATGTCCAATTCTGTGCGTGTGCTTGTGCATGAGTGTGTATACATGCACAGATAGAGGAATGCAAGTGACAGCCCTACTGGACCACGTGAAGTATAAAGGATGGTCTCTTCAGAAGAGAGATGCTGAGAAGATAAACAGTTTATGCCCAACATTACCACCAAACCTGAATTTCAGGCATGCAGTCATGAATTTATGAGATTTGCTTACAAAATATAAACTAAACACTGTTAAAACTGATAAAAAAGAGGTACACTTTTTGTTTTACTTTTGTAAGAGTTGTAAAGTTTATAGAATGATTGCAAAAGGGTCTAAAGTAAAAGTTATTTCCCTGTGCCAGTGATTGGCAAACCATAGTTTATGGCTTGCATCCAGTCTGCTGGCTGTTTTTGTGAAGTTTTATTGGAATACAGTTGTGCCCGTTTGTGTATGTTTTGTTTATGGCTGTTATTTGTGCTACAATAGCAGAGTTGAGAAGTTGTGACAGAGATTGTACAGCTCATAAAGCCTGAAGTATTTATTATCTGGCCCTTACACAAAATGTTTGTTGGCCCTGCCCTATGTGCTCACCCTGTATGTGACCCCTAGTAAGTTTCAAGTGTGAGAGATGCTTTTTAGAGGAAGTGCAGGTGTAGTGAAGTTGAAATTAATGTTTGAAATTAATAATATAAGGGACAGTAAAACTGGAAAGCAACAGAAGTATAGAAACATGAGATGCTTGATTAAAAAGAGGAAGAAATGAGAATAGGGGAAAATAAATGTGTTAGAAAGCAGACTGAAGGGAGCTGCTACCACATGTAGGTCTCGTCTCACCTGTGGAGCTGTGCCACTTTATCAGAATGGAGACATTTTCCAGGGACCAAGCCTGGCAGAGTACACGGCATTCTCAGTAGCCAACGTGACCAAAAAGACAGGGACGTTTTACATATTGTTCTTTCCCATATAGGTTTTTTCCCCAATTTTTGTATTATAAAAACTTTCGAAGCACAGAGCTTACATTGCACAGCTGTTAACATTTGCCATATTCTAAGTGATCATCTATTTTAAATAACAGTTGATTATAGTAGTCTTTGATGCCCCTGGTGCTTAAATATTTGTGAGAATAGCTCAGCACTGTCCTCTCTAAATGTAAAACTGGATTAAGATTCCATGTTTCTGTCTTAAAAATTGGTGTGCATTTTGCAATATAATTCCTATGCTGGTGTTATTTACATATATGTATGTAGTATATATGACATATAATCACGTTATATTACATATAATTACATTTTCATTCTGGGCCTTGGGTATGCTTATTAAATGGCTGTGTGCCCTTTAGGGTTACCTGTTCCCTGGTTGTGGAGCAGAGAAATTGATTATTCCAATGTAATGGTGCAGAGAGTTCCTTAGATACAGGCTGCCGGGTCTAGCTTTGTTATCTTCACTTTCTTGGAAGCCTTGTGTTGCTGAAGTTCAGTTATGTATTTGTGTACTTACTATATTACGAGCCTCTCTGAGCATGTGCACAGTTTGAGAGAAGCCTTAAGTTTTAAGGATGCTCTATTGGGTAGGTCAGGTGAGGGAGGTGGCATGGGGGAAAGGAAAGTTATTAATACATGTACAATTGCTAGCCCTTTATTGCCTAAGCTGTGATTTACAGATAGTGAACACATTAGAAGTTGAGAACGTACTTGGTCCTTTTTGTAGCCTTGTACTGTGCTCTTCAGAGCCTTGAATGTGCTTCTCTTACTTACCATTTTGTTTCTTACAGATTGTTGTGCTCGATGCTGGAAAATATTTTGAAGACAAGACTCTAAACAGTGACCTAAGCCACACTAGCTTATTAGAAGATGAGAAACTTGTGTTGCCGACAAGCTTGGAAGATTCCTCTGGTACACTGCGAGTACCCTGTGTTTCCCTGCTCTTCACCACTCCACTTTCTTCTGCTTTGTTGCAGTAGTTATGATGCCAACTGTTTGGGTTTTTTGTCCTTACCTTTTCTTCCTACCTGCTGGCACTCAAATGGCCACTTCTATTAAGTGATGGAATTCAAGAATTTATTTCTATATATCTATCCTGATATGATTATACTCATCCTCAGTTTAACATTGTTAGGGTATAAAGGAGTCACCTGGAGGTGCCATTTGGTATATAGCACTGTGTTTAGAAATTAGGGGAACCATGAAATTTTTTTTTTTTTTTTTTTTTTGAGATGGGATCTCGCTCTGTCACCCGGGCTGGAGTACAGTGGTGTGATCTTCGCTCATCACAACCTCCGCCTCCCGGGTTCAAGTGATTCTCCTGCCTCAACCTCCTGAGTAGCTGGGATTACAGGTGCCCACCACCATGTCTGGATAATTTTTGTATTTTTAGTAGAGACAGGATTTCAGCATGTTGGCCAGGCTGGTCTGAACTCCTGACTTAAAGTGATCTGCCTGCGTTGGCCTCCCAAAGTGCTGGAATTATAGGTGTGAGCCACCGCGCCCGGTCAGAACCATGAAATATTTGGCCTCTGCTCTCAGACACCTTAGGTGCAGAGAAGAGATGCAGAGCCAATTGTCAGATTGGGTTGCATAAACCCAACAGGCCCCAAGTGTGCCTGGGAATTATAGGGGGTGAGAAATTAACTCTGATTGAGGCAGGTACTGAAGCTTTCTAGAAAAAGGATGGAGCTTGTGCCAGGCCTTAGATATGGGAGGAGGAGGACATGTCAGGAAGCAGGAACAGCATCAGCAAAGGCCCTGCTGTAAGCACGCGGGTTGTGTTTTGGGGAACAGCCAGGGGTTTTGTGTGGCAAGTTTACAGCACCTGTAGGAGGCCACATTGGTAAATAAGCCCAGAAAAGTGTGAAATGGGGCCACATTATGCATGGCTTTGAAAGCCAGGCTGACGAGCTGAGTCAGCATCACGTCCATGGAGAGCAGGTTTTGCCACCAAAGGAGTTTTCAGACGTTTTTGGATTTTGGAATAGTGGATAAATAATTACTGACCTGAATGTATCCACTCTTTGAGTGCTTTAGTGTGCTAGATTCTTGTAGACAGAATTGCTGAGACATAGGTAATAAGTGTTGTTGAGACTCTTAATGATTGCAAAATTGACCTCTGAAATGACATTGCCGACTTAGAAGACCAGGACTGATTGAGAGTTCATGTTTTATTTGGTGCTTGCTGAGCTGGGTGTTACAGCATTGAAAACCCCTGCAGTGGCCTTTCGCCTTCCCTCTCTCCTCCCTCTTTCCTCCCTTTTTTCCTTTTACTTCTCCTGTGATAGGCTCATCTATACTTTTTTGATAGAGGTAACCATTTGCCACACCATTTTCTGAAAAGTCTCCTCTCTTCTCATTGATTTGTGATGCCACATTTATTATATCCTAACTTTGGATAACATGCCAGGGTCTGTTTCTGTCCTGTTTTCTCAAAGAGGTTCAATATTTATCTTGTATATAAAATGTTCATAATGATTTATAATTGACTAAAGTTACAATAGTTTTCTCATGTCAAAAAAACCCACCAAAATCTTAGTGCATTGACTCATTTATGTCTTATCAGACTTTTTAATTACAAATTATTGCTTAGTCACCACTTTAAGCATATTCTATTTTTTCTCGATTTTATCAATAGATGATGATATTGATGATGAAATGTTTTATGATGATCATTTGGAGGCTTATTTTGAACAACTGGCAGTTCCAGGAATGATATATGAAGACCTAGAAGGACCAGAACCTCCAGAAAAAGGTTTTAAGTTACCCACAAATGATCTTAGTCAGGTGTGTTCCAGTCTTTTTGATTTTTCAGAAATTTGACATTAGAAAATTACTATTGGTCTCCTTGGATGTTCACATGAAATGTAAGCCTTTGGTTTTCTTTGGACTCTCTGTTTCGCAGGTATGAATTGATGAGATATGCTTACCTTTCTTCCTTCCTGGTACCTTTCCCTCACTTACAGAAAATTAAAGGAGTAACACAGTGGACAGCTACACCGTCTTCCTCCAGTTAACCAGTTGCTAAAGTTTGCCACTTTTGTGTTTTCTTTCTCTCTCGATAAATACTTTCTTCTCTGAATCATTTGAAAGTAAGTCACAGAGAGTATGACATTTCACTGGAATACTTCAGCATTTATCTTTTGTAGATAAGGACATTTTCCTGCATAACCACAATTCTTTTACCTAACTTTGATATAATAATTTAAATTACTGTACAGTCCATATTCACATTTACCCAGTTGTTCCCAGAATGTCCATTATTCTTACAATTTTTTGTCTACAATTTAATCAAAGATTAACCTTGGCTTTGGTTATCCTGTCTCTTTATTCTCTTTTAATTTGGAGTAGTTCTTTTATGATGTGATCTATTTTGTAAAATCTAGGCCCTTTGTTTTGTAGAGTGAACCATAATCTAGTCAGGAGGGAAAAATAACCATAATCTGTTTTCCCTCCCAACTAGATTAGATTAAACATTTTGGCAAGAATACAGATTAAACAGTTTCTCATGAGTGGATTCATGGTAAACCAGGCAGTGCTGTGTACGTCTCATTGCCCGACACCAGGAGACGTTTCTCTCTCCCACAATTGGCGATAACTGTTTTTGATAATTTTGGCTAAGGTGATGTCAGCTCTATGTCTCCTTGTGAAGGTAGCTTTTCCTGTTTGTTATTAATAAGTCATCTGTGGGATGAGATATCAGCCCTTTGATCATCTTATTCCCCGACAACCCTTCACTAGCTGGCTTCAGTGTCCTTGCTGACTCGTAGAAATACTGATTGCTCTCGTGGTGACAATGGCAATTTTTCTAATTCCTTCTACATTTATTTTCTGGCATCCTTCAGTAAAGCCACATTTTCTCCCTCAAAATATTTCATTTTAATTTAAAAGATTAATACAGCTAAGATATTTTTTCAACAGGCAAATGAAAATGGTAGCTTAAACTGCAAGTTTCAATCAGAAAATAACAGCTCTCTGATTTCCCTTGACTTACACTCTTCTGAAACAACTCGCAAAGAGTCTGAGGAAAGCCAAGTTTTTTGTCTACCTGGGACTAGTAAGTATAGAAATATGATTCTTTTGTTCTTAAGTTCTAGTTTTGAATTTACCTTTTTTTTTTTAACTTTTTTTTTTTTTAATTATACTTTAAGTTCAAGGGTACATGTGTATAACGTGCAGGTTTGTTACATACATATACATGTGCCATGTTGGTGTGCTGCACCCATCAACTCGTCATTTACATTAGGTATATCTCCTAATGCTATCCCCCACCCAAGACAGGCCCCGGTGTTTGATGTTCCCCTTCCTGTGTCCAAGTGTTCTCATTGTTCAGTTCCCATCTATGAGTGAGAACATGCGGTGTTTGGTTTTTTGTCCCTGTGATAGTTTGCTGAGAATGATGGTTTCCAGCTTCATCCATGTTTCTACAAAGTACATGAACTCATCCTTTTTTATGGCTGCATAGTTTTCCATGGTGTATGTGTGCCACGTTTTCTTAATCCAGTCTATCATTGATGGACATTTGGGTTGGTTCCAAGTCTTTGCTATTGTGAATAGTGCCGCAATAAACATACGTGTGCATGTGTCTTTATAGTAGTATGATTTATAATCCTTTGGGTATATACCCGGTAATGGGATCACTGGGTCAAATGGTATTTCTAGTTCTAGATCCTTGAGGAATCACCACACTGTCTTCCACAATGGTTGAACCAGTTTATAGTCCCACCAACAGTGTAAAAGTGTTCCTGTTTCTTCACATCCTCTCCTGCACCTGTTGTTTCCTGACTTTTTAATGATCGCCATTCTAACTGGTGTGAGATGGTATCTCATTGTGGTTTTGATATGCATTTCTCTAATGGCCCGTGATGATGAGCATTTTTTCATGTGTCTGTTGGCTGCATAAATGTCTTCTTTTGAGACGTGTCTGTTCATATCCTTCACACACTTTTTGATGGGGTTGTTTTTTTCTTGTAAATTTGTTTGAGTTCTTTGTAGATTCTGGATATTAGTCCTTTGTCAGATGAGTAGATTGCAAAAATTTTCTCCCATTCTGTAGGTTGCCTGTTCACTCTGAAGGTAGTTTCTTTTGCTGCGCAGAAGCTCTTTAGTTTAATTAGATCCCATTTGTGAATTTTGACTTTTGTTGCCGTTGCTTTTGGTGTTTTAGACATGAAGTCCTTGCCCATGCCTATGTCCTGATTAGTATTGCCTAGGTTTTTTTCTAGGGCTTTTATGATTTTAGGTCTAACATTTAAGTCTGTATTCCATCTTGAATTAATTTTTGTGTAAGGTGTAAGGAAGGGATCCAGTTTCAGCTTTCTACATATGGCTAGCTAGTTTTCCTAGCACCATTTATTAAATAGGGAATCCTTTTTTCAGGGATCTTTTGTCAGGTTTGTCAAAGATCAGATGACTGTAGATGTGTGGTGTTATTTCTGAGGGCTCTGTTCTGTTCCATTGGTCTATATCTCTGTTTTGGTACCAGTACCATAGTGTTTTGGTTACTGTAGCCTTGTGGTATAGTTTGAAGTCAGGTAGCGTGATGCCTCCAACTTTGTTCTTTTGGCTTAGGATTGTCTTGGCAATGTGGGCTCTTTTTTGGTTCCATATGAACTTTAAAGTAGTTTTTTCCATTCTGTGAAGAAAGTCATTGGTAGCTTGATGGGGATGGCATTGAATCTATAAATTACCTTGGGCAGTATGGCCATTTTCACGATATTGATTCTTCCTATCCATGAGCATGGAATGTTCTTCCATTTGTTTGTGTCCTCTTTTATTTTGTGGAGCAGTGGCTTATAGTTTTCCTTGAAGAGGTCCTTCATATCCCTTGTAAGTTGGATTCCTAGGTATTTTATTCTCTTTGAAGCAATTGTGAATGGGAGTTCACTCATGATTTGGCTCTCTGTCTGTTATTGGTGTATAGAAATGCTTGTGATTTTTGCACATTAATTTTGTATCCTGAGACTTTGCTGAAGTTGCTTATCAACTTAAGGAGATTTTGGGCTGAGACAATGGGGTTTTCTAAACATACAATCATGTCACCTGCAAACAGGGACAATTTGACTTCCTCTTTTCCTAATCGAATACCCTTTCTTTCTTTCTCTTGCCTGATTGCCCTGGCCAGAACTTCCAACACTATGTTGAATAGGAGTGGTGAGAGAGGGCATCCATGTCTTGTGCCAGTTTTCAAAGGGAATGCTTCCCGTTTTTGCCCATTCAGTATGATATTGGCTGTGGGTTTGTCATAAATAGCTCTTACTGTTTTGAGATACGTCCCATCAATACCGAATTTATTGAGAGTTTTTAGCATGAAGGGCTGTTGAATTTTTTGTCGAACGCCTTTTCTGTATCTATTGAGATAATCATGTGGTTTTTGTCTTTGGTTCTGTTTATATGCTGGATTACATTTCTTGATTTGCGTATGTTGAACCGGCCTTGCATCCCAGGGATGAAGTCCACTTGATCATGGTGGATAAGCTTTTTGATGTGCCGCTGGATTCAGTTTGCCAGTATTTTATTGAGGATTTTTGCATTGATGTTCATCAGGGATATTGATCTAAAATTCTCTTTTTTTGCTGTCTCTCTGCCAGGCTTTGGTATCAGGATGATGTTGGCCTCATAAAATGAGTTAGGGAGAATTCCCTGTTTTTCTATGGATTGGAATAGTTTCAGAAGGAATGGTACCAGTTCTTCCTTATACCTCTGGTAGAATTCGACTGTGAATCCTTCTGGTCCTGGACTGTTTTTGGTTGGTAGGCTATTCATTATTGCCTCAATTTTAGAGCCTGTTATTGGTCTATTCAGGGATTCAAATTCTTCCTGGTTTAGTCTTGGGAGAGTGTAGGTGTCCAGGAATTTATCCATTTCTTCTAGATTTTCTAGTTTATTTGTGTAGAGGTGTTTATAGTGTTCTCTGATGGTAGTTTGTATCTCTGTGGGTTCGATGGTGATATCCCCTTTATCATTTTTTATTGCATCTATTTGATTATTCTCTCTTTTCTTCCTTATTAGTCTTGCCAGCGGTGTATCAATTTTGTTGATCTTTTCAAAAAACCAGCTCCTGGATTCATTGATTTTTTTTGAAGGGTTTTTTGCGTCTCTGTTCGTTTACATTTGCTGAGGAGTGCTTTACTTCCAACTATGTGGTCGATTTTGGAATAAGTGTGATGTGGTGCTGAGAAGAATGTATATTCTGTTGATTTGGGGTGGAGAGTTCTGTAGATGTCTATTGGGTCTGCTTGTTGCAGAGCTGAGTTCAGGTCCTGGATATCCTTGTTAACCTTCTGTCTCGTTGATCTGTCTAATATTGACAATGGGGTGTTAAAGTCTCCCATTATTATTGTGTGGGAGTCTAAGTCTCTTTGTAGGTCTCTAAGGACTTGCTTTATGAATCTGGGTGCTCCTATATTGGGTGCATATATATTTAGGATAGTTAGCTCTTCTTGTTGAATTGATCCCTTTACCATTATGTAATGGCCTTCTTTGTCTCTTTTGATCTTTGTTGGTTTAAAGTCTATTTTATCAGAGACTAGGATTGCAACTCCTGCTTTTTTTGTTTTCCATTTGCTTGGTAGATCTTCCTCCATCCCTTTATTTTGAGCCTGTTTGTGTCTCTGCATGTGAGATGGGTCTCCGGAATACAGCAAACTGATGGGTCTTGACTCTATCCAATTTTCCAGTCTGTGTCTTTTAATTGGAGCATTTAGCCCATTTACATTTAAGGTTAATATTGTTATGTGTGTATTTGATCCTGTCATTTTGATGTTAGCTGGTTATTTTGCTCATTAGTTGATGCAGTTTCTTCCTAGCATCGATGGTCTTTACACTTTGGCATGTTTTTGCATTGACTGGTACTGGTTGTTCCTTTCTTTTTTTTTTTTTTTTTTTTTGAGACGGAGTCTCGCTCTGTAGCCCAGGCTGGAGTGCAGTGGCCGGATCTCAGCTCACTGCAAGCTCCGCCTCCCGGGTTCACGCCATTCTCCGGCCTCAGCCTCCCGAGTAGCTGGGACTACAGGCGCCCGCCACCTCGCCCGGCTAATTTTTTGTATTTCTTAGTAGAGACGGGGTTTTACCGTGTTATCCAGGATGGTCTCGATCTCCTGACCTCGTGATCCACCTGTCTCGGCCTCCCAAAGTGCTGGGATTACAGGCTTGAACCACCGCGCCCGGCCTGGTTGTTCCTTTCTATGTTTAGTGCTTCCTTCAGGAGCTCTTGTAAGGCAGGCCTGGCGGTGACAAAATGTCAGCATTTGTTTGTCTGAAAAGGATTTTATTTCTCATTCACTTATGAAGCTTAGTGGCTGGATATGAAATTCTGGGTTGAAAATTCTTTTCTTTAAGAATGTTGAATATTGGCCCCCATTCTCTTCTGGCTTGTAGAGTTTCTACTGGGAGATCCACTGTTAGTCTGATGGGCCTCCCTTTGTGGGTAGCCCAACCTTTCTCTCTGGCTGCCCTTAACATTTTTTCCCTCATTCCAACCTTGGTGAATCTGACAATTATGTGTCTTGGAGTTGCTCTTCTCGAGGAGTATCTTTTTGGCGTTCTCTGTATTTCCTGCATTTGAATGTTGGCCTGCCTTGCTAGGTTGGGGAAGTTCTCCTGGATAATATCCTGAAGAGTGCTTTCCAACTTGGTTCCATTCTTCCCATCACTTTCAGGTACACCAATCAGACGTAGATTTGGTCTTTTCACATAGTCCCATATTTCTTGGAGACTTTGTTCGTTTCTTTTTACTCTTTTTTCTCTAAACTTCTCTTCTTGCTCATTTCATTCATTTGATCTTCACTCACCAATACTCTTTCTTCCACTTGATCGAATCGGCTACTGAAGCTTGTGCGTGCGTCACGTAGTTCTTGTGCCATGGTTTTCAGCTCCGTCAGGTCATTTAAGGACTTCTCTACACTTGTTATTCTAGTTAGCCATTCGTCTAATCTTTTTTCAAGGTTTTTAGCTTCTTTGCGATGGGTTTGAACTTCCTCCTTTAGCTTGGAGAATTTTGATCGTCTGAAGCCTTCTTGTCTCAACTCGTCAAAGTCATTCTCCATCTAGCATTGTTCCATTGCTGGCAAGGAGCTGCGTTCCTTTGGAGGGGAGAAAGGCGCTCTGATTTTTAGAATTTACAGCCTTTCTGCTCTGTTTTTTCCCCATCTTTGTGGTTTTATCTACCTCTGGTCTTTGATGATGGTGACGTACTGATGGGGTTTTGGTGTGGATGTCCTTTCGGTTTGTTAGTTTTCCTTCTGACAGTCAGGACCCTCAGCTGAAGGTCTGTTGGAGTTTGCTGGAGGTCCACTCCAGACCCTGTTTGCCAGGTATCCGCAGCGGAGGCTGCAGAACCGTGAATATTGCTGAACAGCAAAAGTTGCTGGAAGCTTCTCTGGAAGCTTCGTCTCAGAGGGAGACCCGTCCCTCTGAGGTGTCAGTCTGCCCCTACTCAGGGGGTGCCTCCCAGTTAGGCTGCTTGGGGGTCAGGGACCCACTTGAGGAGGCAGTCTGTCTGTTCTCAGTTCTGAAAATCTGTGCTGGGAGAACCACTACTCTCTTCAAAGCTGTCAGACAGGAACATTTAAGTCTACAGAGGTTTCTGCTACCTTTTGTTCGGCTGTGTCCTCTTCCCAGAGGTAGATTCTATAGAGACAGGCAGGTCTCCTTGAGCTGCAGTGGGCTCCACGCAGTTTGAGCTTCCCGGCCACTTTGTTTACCTACTCAAGCCTCAGCAATGGCAGGCCGCCCCTCCCTGAGCCTCAGTGCCGCCTTGCAGTTCGATCTCAGACTGCTGTGCTAGCAATGAACAAGGCTCGGTGGGCGTGGGACCCTCTGAGCCAGGCGTGGGATATAATCTCCTGGTGTGCCATTTGCTAAGACCCTTGGAAAAGCGCAGTATTAGGGTGGGAATGACCTGATTTTCTAGGTGCCGTCTGTCACAGCTTCCTTTGTCTCGGAAAGGGAATTCCCTGACCCCTTAAGCTTCCCGGGTGAGGCGATGCCTCGCCCTGCTTCAGCTCACACTCGGTGGGCTGCACCCACTGTCCTGCACCCACTGTCTGACACGCCCCAGTGAGATGAACCTGGTACCTCAGTTGGAGATGCAGAAATCACCCGTCTTTTGCGTTGCTCACGCTGGAAGCTGTAGACTGGAGCTGCTCCTATTCAGCCATCTGGGAAAAAAAAAAAATTTCTCTGGTATGATTTAGCATATATTAACTCTTCTAGTCCCTCAGGTCTTTAGACAGTCTAAAACTTTTCAAAAGAGCTTTTAATAATAGCTAAGTAAATTAGTGTTAGTAGAAATACTGTAGTATATATTTCTTGGATTGAATATTACAAATAATTATATTCTATCCAGACATCAATAATTAAATATGAATTCTTTCTGTATGGTAGCAGTTTATCATGTTTATTATTGCCTCTTACTGTTGCTTATTTTCTATGAAAATGGCTAAATTTGTCATAGGAGTGCTAAGTATTAGGTTTACATAAAATAATTTGACTAGCAAGAAACAGTTATTATGTTCGATTACTCAGATTTGATGTGGCTCCGTTAACATTTTTCTTTATTTTTTCAGGTAATTCTGTTGGTGCTGGAGGTAGTAGAAGGCACACAGGTGGTCTGTTACCATTTTCCTCTGGTACTTGGGGAATTGAGAAAGAAATAGAAAATGTGAAGGGTATCGTTCCAGATCTCAGCAGCGTAAGTTATGCATTTTTCTTACATTTCCTATGAAAAAAGGAACAAGGTATCTTTTGTGTTTATATGATATATATTTTTTTAAAGTAACAGTTACTGTTGACTTCTGAAAAATACAGAAAAAGTAAAAAAGTCACTACTGATAATGTTTCAATATGTTTGTAAGTATCTTTCATACAATTATACATTTTCTTGCATTTAAGTATTTAATGACTTGCATTTAGATTAGTCATTTGGAAAGTTCTTTAGCCCAGTGTCCAGTCATTAAATGAAAAAGCAAACGGATCTTTTACCTTGCTCAAACATACTTGTTTTTCATTGTTTCAGTTTTTTCTGTTTCTTAATAGTACCCCGTTTCTCCTGTGCCTGAAGCTTGGTAGTTATTTCGGACTCATGCCTATTCATTATGCCCCTTTTTTAGTAATGTTATTACAGTTTTATAAACTGTGATTTGAATTTTGCATGTGGGTTAATTTTTTCTGACTTAGACCCATTTGTCCAGTATTGATTAAAATAATGCTTGGTTTTTTGCTTTATTCGGTGCATCTCTGTTTTGTATGTTAAATATATTTTTAATTTAAATTTTAACTTGTAAAATACATATAACATAAAATTTGCTATCTTAATCTTTTTTTTTTTTTTTTTTTTTTTTTTGAGACAGAGTGTCACTCTGTCGCCCAGGCTGGAGTGCAATGGTGCGATCTTAGCTCACTGCAACCTCTGCCTCCCAGGTTCAAGCAATTCTCTCTCAGCCTCCCGAGTAGCTGGGATTACAAGTGCACATCACCACCTGGTTAATTTTTGTATTTTTAGTAGAGATGGAGTTTCACCATGTTGGTCAGGCTGGTCTCAAACTCCTGGCCTCAAGTGATCTGCCTGCCTTGGCTTCCCAAAGTGCTGGGATTACAGGAGTGAGCCACCACGCCTGGCCACTATCTTAATCATTTTTAAGTGTACAGTTCAATAATGTTAAGTACATTTACATTGTACAGCCAATCTTCAGGACTCTTCATCTTGTAAAACTAAAACTTTGCCCATTAAACAACAAACCTCAATTCCCTCCTGCCTTCCAACTCATGGCAACTACCATTCTACTTTCTGTCTCTATGAATTTGCCTACTCTGGGTATGCTCATATAAGTGGAATCATACAATATTTGGCCTTCTGTGTCTGTCTTATTTTATTAAGCATGAGGTTTTCAAGGTCTGTTCATGTCATAGCATATATCAACATTTCATTCTTTCTTATGGCTGAATAATATTCTATTATATATACCACATTTTATTTATTCCCTCATCCTTCAGTGGACACTTGGGTGTTTCTGTCTTTTGGCTTTTGAGTGTAATGCTGCTGTGAACATCAGCGTACAAATACCTGTTCGAGTCCTAGCTTTCAGTTTGTTTGGGTATATATGTAGGAGTGAAATTGCTGGGTCGTATGGTAATTCTGTGTTTAATGTTTTGAGGAGTTGCCATAGTGTTTTTCATAGCAGCTGCACCAGTTTACATCCACCAGCAAAACACTAGGATTCCAATTTTTCCACATCCTATTTAACACTCTTTACTTTTTTCCCTTTTTAAATTACAGTTATCCTAATGAGTGTGAAGTAGTATCTAGTTGTGGTTTTGATTTGCATTGTCCTGAAGACTAGAGATACTGAACATCTTTTCATGTATGTCTTCCTTGGGGAAATGTTCGTTTAAGGCCTTTGCCCACTTTTTAATTGAGTTTTTTTGTTGTTGTTGAATTGTAGAGTTCTTTATGTCATCTGGATATTAATTCCTTACCAAATGTCTGAATGGTAAATTTTTCTCTCATTCTGTAGATTGTCTTTTACTTTCTTGATATTGTCCTTTAATGTGCAAAAATTTTAAATTATGATGTAATGTGATCTATTTTTATATTACTAGCTGTGCTTTTGTTTTTATGTCTGTGAAATTGTTGTCAAATTCAGTGTCATGAAGATTTCCCTGTTTTCTTCCAAGAGTTTTATAGAGTTAGCTCTTACATTTAGATTGTTGATCTGTGACTTTGTGAGAGAAAAAGAAAAAAGGGAAAAAGAGAAAACGATGGTTGAATTTTTTTATTTTTTATTTTTTATTTTTTTTTGGAGACAGAGTCTCTCTCTGTCGCTCAGGCTGGAGTGCAATGGCGCGATCTGGGTTCACTGCAAGCTCCACCTCCTGGGTTCATGCTGTTCTCCTGCCTCAGCCTCCCGAGTAACTGAGACTACAGGCGCCCGCCACTACACCCAGCTAATTTTTTTGTATTTTTAGTAGAGACGAGGTTTCACCATGTTAGCCAGGATGGTCTCCATCTCCTGACCTCATGATCCACCCGTCTCGGCCTTCCAAAGTGCTAGGATTACAAGCGTGAGCCACCGCGCCCTGCCTTTTGATTTGTTTTGAGTTTATTTTTATATGTGATGTTAGGTAAGGGTCTAACTAACATCATTCTTTTGCATGTGGATATTAAATTTTCTCAGCACTATTTATTAAAAAGGCTGTTCTTTCTTCATTGAATGGTTTTGGCACTTTTATCAGAAATCAATTTATCATGTATGTGAGGGTTTATTTCTGGCTTCTCTGTTCTAGCCCATTGGTCTATTTGTCTGTCTTTTTGACAGCGCCAGACTGCTTTAATCACTTGTCTTTGTAGGACGTTGGGAAGTGTTAGTCCTTCAACTTAATTCTTCTCTTTCAAGATTTTTTTGTCTGAGGCCCTTGGCAATTCTATATGAATTTGAGGATCAGCTTTTCCATTTCTTTAGAAAAGGCTGTTGAAATTTTGAGAGGGATTTTGTTGAATCTGCAGGTCACTTTGGGTAGAATTGATACCTTTGCAATGTTAAGTCTTCATATTCATGAAGACACAGGATGTCTGTCCATTCTTTTAGGTCTTTTGGTCTTCTTTCTTTCAACAGTGTTTTGTAGTTTTCAGTATGTCTTTCACTTCCTTGATTAGATTTATTCCCAAGTACTTTAGTCTTTTAGATGCTGTTGTGAATGGAATTGCTTTCTTAATTTACAGTTTGGATTGTTTATTGCTGGTGTTTAGAAACATCTGATTTTTTGTGTGCTGATCTTGTACCTTCTAGATTTTTCTCCAGTGTTATCTTCTAGGAGTTTTATAGCTTTGCATTTTACATTTAGGTCTGTGATCCATTTTCAGTTAATTTTTGTGAAAGGTGTAATGTCTTTGTTGAGATTCATTTTTTTGCATGTAAATACCCAATTGTTCCAGCACCATTTGTGAAAAAACTATCTTTGCTTCATCGTGATGCCATTGTTCCTTTGTCAAAGATTAGTTTGGCTATATGTATGTGGGTCAGTTTTCCGAATCTCTGTTCTGCTGATCTGTTTGTCTGTTCTTTCACCAGTAATCACTGTCTTGGTGACTACTGCTTTATTAAGTAATGAAATTGGACAGTGCCTTCTCTCTTTATTCTTATTTTTCAAGATTGAGTTGGTTGTTCTGGGTCTTTTGTCTCTTTGTGTAAACTTTATTTTTTTTTTTAATATTATTTTTTTGTTTGAGACAGAGTCCCTCTCTGTCACCCAGGCTGGAGTGCAGTGGCATGATTTTGGCTCACTGCAACCCCTACCTCCCGAATTCAAGCGATTCTCTCTCCTCAGCCTCCAAGGTAGCTGGGATTACAAGTGTACGCCATTGTGCCCAGCTAATGTTTGTATTTTTAATAGAGATGAGGTTTCACCATGTTGGCCAGACTGGTCTGAAACGTCTAATTTCAAATGATCCACCTGCCTCTGCCTCCCAAAGTGCTGGGACTGCAGGCATGAGCCACCATGCCCAGCCTGTGTAATCTTTAAAATCAGTTTGTCAGTATCTAAATTAAGAACTTGGCTGGGATTTTGATTGGTATTAAATTGAATGTATAGGTGAAGTTGGGAAGAACTGACGTTTTGACAGTGTTGAGTCTTCCTATCCATGAACATTGAATATCTCTCTATTTATTTGATTTTCTTTTATTTCTTTCTCAGAGTTTTGTAGTTTTCTCGCATGTAGATGTTATATATTTTGTTAGATTTATACCTAACTTATTTCATATATGGGGGTGTTAATGTAGATAGTATTGTTTTAAATTTCAAATTCTACTAGTTCGTTGCTAGTGTATAGGAAAGCAGTTAACATTTATGTAATAAATATGTATGCTGTCATCTTTTATTAGTTCCAGGAATTTTTTTGTCAGTTCTTTTGGATTTTCTGCATAGGTGATCATGTCATTCACAAACAAAAGACAGTTTTTATTTCCTCCCAATCTGTATACATTTTATTTCCTTTTCGTGTCTTAATTGCATTAGCTAGGACTCACAGTATGACGTTGAAAAACAGTGGGGGGAGGAGACGTCCTTGCCTTATTCCTGGTCTTAGTGGAAAGGCTTCTGGCTTCTTACTATTAAGTATGATGTTAGCTAAGGTGTTTTTTAAGGTTTTTTTAACTTTTATTTTATTTTTATCAAGTTGAGAATGTTTTTCTCTAGTTTACTGGGAATTTTTATCATGAATGGGTGTTGGATTTTTGTCAGTTTTTTTTTTTTTGCATCTATTGATATGATCACATGTTTTTTGGTTTTTTTTTGTAGTCTGTTGATGTGATAGATTACATTAATTGATTTTTGATTTTTTTTTTTTTTTTTGAGACAGAGTCTCGCTCTGTCGCCCAGGCTGGAGTGCAGTGGCGCGATCTCGGCTCACTTCAAGTTCCGCCTCCCGGGTTCACGTCACTTTCCTGCCTTAGCCTCCCGAGTAGCTGGGACTACAGGTGCCCGCCACCTCACCCGGCTAATTTTTTGTGTGTGTTTTAGTAGAGACGGGGTTTCACCGTGTTAGCCAGGATGGTGTCGATCTCCTGACCTCGTGATCCGCCCGTCTCGGCCTCCCAAAGTGCTGGGATTACAGGCGTGAGCCACCGCGCCTGGCTGATTTTTGATTGTTGAACTAGGCTTGCATACCTGGGATCTCCTTGGTTATGATGTATAATT